AGATGGAAATCGGTGGTTTTCCCATTTTCCAGGTGCCCCTTGGATACTCCTGAGCAGGGAAGTCAAAGAGAGAGAAACTGAAGAGAGACTTCGTGTTGCTATAAGATATAGATGGTGTGGAGTGGAAGATCAACCCTCAGCTTGGTCCACTGTAATCACAGTATAGCAGGGGCAGAGAGTAAGATGTGAATTTTTCTCTTGATGTTTGGCCAGTATGATCAAAATTACAAGTATTTGGTACTGAGTATTGTAAAAAAGACTTTCTATTGTAAAGCCACTCTTTTCCTCATCCTCTAACCAGGAGGAACATAATCCTAGGACCATTGTTTTTGCCTTTTCAGCAAGTGTAGCCAAATATATAATTCTCATTTTGAATTCTTTTATTTCAGGTATTTGAGTATAACTCTATTTTCTTATTCTCCATGCTATTGTTGAAAGATCGATGACATTCAGATTCTGAATTTTTTTTTGGAAGCGATTAACCCCTCTTATCAAACACTTTTGGAGTTTTTCTATGTCTTTGATATTGTTAAATAGACCTATGTTTCTAGTATGGATTTTTCCACATGCATCTTTTCTTCGGTACATGGTTAGACCTTTCAACTTGAGAGCTTTCCTTTTTCTTTAAGTCAGTAAAATTTCATTCTTTATTTCTTTAAATAATTATTCTTCTCTAATATGCATAGTAGCATGTATAATTTACATACTATATTTAATATTACATAAATATTATATAGTATATGAAAATAATATGAACATTGGAATCTATCACGTGTTTTCATTTACATTTCTTGTCTTTTTGTTATTTTATGATGCCTTCTAAAAGGACTTCTTCACCTAATGTTTCAACTTATACATTCCTTCTTTAGCTATATTTATTCAACAATTAATTTTATACGTGGAGATTTTGTACTCATACTTTTCAAGCCTGGCATTTTCACTTGGTCCTTCTTTAGAAATACTTCTGCCCCTTTGTCATGTCACCAATATCCTCTCTTCCCTCTTCAAGAATATTTGTTATATTTAAGTTCTCTCTCTGTCTCAGTCCATTAGTTCCTCTTCATATAATGCAAATTATCCAACGTATTATCTTTTTAAAAATTTTATTTACTTATTTATTTTTTAAGAGGCAGTGTCTCACTCTGTTGCCCAGGCTGGCGTGCAGTGCTGCAATCACAGCTCACTACAGCCTCAAATCCCACGGATCAAGCAATTCCCCTGCCCCAGCCTCCCTAGTAGCTGTCACCACAGGCATGCACCACAATACCCAGCGAATCTTTATACTTTTTTTGTAGACACAGGTCTCACTTTGTTGCCCAGATTGGTCTCAAACTCCTGACCTCTAGTGATCCTCTCGTCTCAGTCTCCCGGGGTGCTGGGATTACAGGTGTGAGCCATCACTTCTGGTATGTATTATCTTTTGTAATATTGGTTATTCTCCTCATTTGTCTCATCTCCCCTACCTTGTGAGCTCAAACTTTAACAAGCCAACTACCCTGACAAATAATATTTGTCTAGAAGAATGACCTGAATGGGCTGGAGCCCGGGGTCTGGATGTTGCCCATTTTGGTGATTTTAGAAAGGGGCTGACATGCTCCTGGGTGGAAAATGGAAAGGCCCTGGTGTTCAGGTGTGGACTTGAGCTTTATGTAACCCTGCTCATCTAGAAAACCTGCTTCTACTCCTGAACCTGGATCTGCTTCATCAGGTGGTTTTCCTTCTATTTTGATTGTGACCTTATAACTCTTGGAATATACCAGGTGAAATGGGGAAGTCACGCCATAGAACTCCGCTCCTGCTTCAGTGATACCTTCTCCTCTCCAGGAGTGTGCACCTGGAGCTATTACTTTTATGATTCATGTCGTGAAGAAGCCAAGATTGGATTCACTCTGGAAAATGAGGCCCAGATTATGCCTTGACCCTAGGGTCTGGTTCTCTGCCATGGATGTTCTGTCCTCATACACCATGCCCTGAATGCCTGTGTGTCCAAAATACACTTTAAGAAATTGAAGCAAAATGATGACATAATTGGCTTTGTTGATCCGGACTATTTGACTCATGCCTGGCCACACTGATGAACTTTGCTATAGTTTGACAATGGTCATTGCTCTCAAAAATACCTCCCTAAGGGCTGCTCTCTGAAAATGGACAGGACATGGGAAGCCAGTGTCCCTGAGTCCTGGTTATGCACCTCTTATCCGGTCAACCCAGAGTTGTCCTACCAGGCACAATGCTATGCTAGCACTGGTAAGAACACTCTGAGGATTGGCATGTGAGGTTAGGACACATAGGAAAGAAGCAGCATTGTCCTATTACCACTCCCGTCTACCAACACTTTCCCCTCATCTTCTGGAATGCTTTTGATTTTTTTGTCTCTGAAAGACAAAGAATCTCTCTCAGATCAGGGCAGAAGCACACTGGCAAAAAGCGAAGCCTTTTCTGTTTGCTTTACTTTATCATGTGGCAGCTGCTTGCTTCCTCCAGCTCATGCCACAGATGCCAGAAAGCAGCAGATGGCATCTTCAGGCCACTCGAAGCCGCACTCAGGGAGTGATATGCTTTGGCTGTATCCCCCCTCAAATCTCAACTTGAATTGAATCTCCCAGAATTCCCATGTGTTGTGGGAGGGACTCAGGGGGAGGTAATTGAATCATGGGGGCCAGTCTTTCCCGTGTTATTCTTGAAATAGTGAATAAGTCTCAAAGAGATCTGATGGGTTTATCAGGGGTTTCCACTTTTGCTTCTTCCTCATTTTCTTTTGCCACTGCCACGTAAGAAGTGCCTTTCACCTCCAGCCATGATTTCAGCCGTGTGGAACTGTAAGTCCAATTAAACATCTTTTTCTTCCCAATCTCGGGTATGTCTTTATCAGCTGCATGAAAATGAACTAATACAGGGAGCCTGAGCATGCTTTTGTGAATGGGGCCAATGTCTTCACCAGCTCTCACTGCCAGGAGGCAGTTTGATCTTTGGAAAATGTGGTAAGGTATTCAGCTCATCCATATTAATCCAAATTTGAACTATGAAATCTATAACAGGAAAATGTATACATTCATTTATTAATTCAACAAAAATTTGATAAGCACAGGCACTTTGTTAGACCCTGGGAAACAATAGTGAACTAAAGAAAATGAGGTTTGATTTCTAGTAGGAGGAGACTGATAGTAACATCACAGACCCTTGATTAAGATGACTAGTTTAAATGGTGATACATGCAAAGGAGGAAATAAAAGTAGATCATGTGATGGAGAGGTATGCAGGACTAGGGGTTGGTCCTGTCTACAAGAAGGCAGGACAGGAGAGCCTCTTTTAGGAAGTTATATATTCTCTGACCTTTGTAAGGTAAAGAAGGATAGATCATAAGAAAAGCCAGAGGGAAACCTTCCTGGCAGAGGAAACAGAGCTGTGATCAGTGTCGGTCTGTTTGACCAACAGAAAGGGATCAGTGTGTTTGGAACCAGGTGAGCAAAGGGGTAAGAGGTGATATCCATGAAGTGAGCAGCAACGAATTGTGCAAGAAAAGAAGTCCATTCTTTTTCCTGTGCAATAAACATTCACTGGAGGGATTTAACCATGTTTTTGTTCTGATTTGCTTTTAATATATCCCTGGGTCATATGCAGATTGTAGGGTAAAGAATGAAAGACAGGTGACCAGTTAGGAGGTTATTGCTGTGTGGTAGACAAGAGATGATGTTAGTTGAGATTCTGGTGGTGACAATGGAGATGGAACAAAATAGAGTTAGGATATATTTTGGAGTTATGGTTGACAAGCCTTTCCATAGACTATGAACTGGGTGTCTCCAGGGTTTGGGGATGAGTTAATTGAATGATGTTACAATTTTTTGAGATAGTAAAGGCCAGGCAGGGAAGGAACAGGTTTGACACTTGACTGGAATTGGATGTTTAGTAGAGAACTGCCATCAGTACCAGCAGCAATATGGGATGTGGAATGGCTCTGGGGTGAAATTGACCAGAGGAAAGTGGAGAAAGTGGATCTTGAGCTCTTGCAATAGAAATGATGTAAGGGTGAATGTAGGGTGTGGGAGGGTGGGAATGATGGCTGAAGGTAAAAAGAGAAAACGAGGGAGTTGAGAGATACTTTAAGATGTCATCTTTCAGGATAATGTTGTATTGGTTAAGGGGACATAGGGAGAGGGAAGTGTTTTGGCTTGTGAAACTCAAGTGGAAGGATAATCACTGAGACAGAAAAACCGGAAGAGGACCAAGTTTGGGAAAAGCTATACTAAGTCTAACTTTAGACAAGTTGAATTAAAAGTAAATATCCTCTGGGTCTTTCGTGAATGATATATTACCATGGTACTAAGTCTCAACTTATTGGTAAAGTCTTATTTCTGCAAAGTTAAAAATCTCTCTTTCTTTTTTACACAATAGCATTTAGTACTTTTTCTAATTACAGAAGCAATACATGTTTATTGTAAAACATTTTAAAAATACAAAAAACCCTCAAAATCTGACTACTCAAAAATAACGAAAAGTAATATTTGATGTCTTACAAACCCTTGTGCTCATTATTTTTAATTTTTATAACACTTGCATCTTGTTTTTAGAACTTAATATATAGTGTCTACTTTCCAGCATCATTAAACATTCCTCCAGAAATGGCTGTTTAATGGGGTTATCATCATCCTTAATGCTTAGGAAGCAGAAAAGCAGAGTTGGTTTCCTCCTTCCAGAGCTCCTCCAGGCTGTGGCTGATCCCATGCATGTTTTAAGAGATGTGGTGGCATTTCCTGCTTGGGAAGTAGGTCCATGACCAAAGTTACAACTCGAGGAAACTAACAGCCTGAAACATATTCTGGGGAGTAACCTAAGGCCTGTAGGAGAGTGGGTGACGATCACTGCCCAGCCATGGCTCCACTCTGATGTAGCTTTCTCTCTCTGCTCATCCTTCCTGCTTTACTTTTATTTCCTCAATAAACGTTTGCAGCCTTAAAAATGAATGAAAAAAAAAAGAAAAGAAAAGAAAAGAAAAGAAAAGAGAGTAGAAATTGGTGTTGCCCAGAAAGAGCCCGTTGTCTCAGCACTGGAGTGCAGTCAATCCTCATTATACAGCAGAGCTGATTTTTCACATTCTTCCTACCCAGCCGTGGATGGAGAGCTCTCCTTGAGTTCTAGGTGATGTAGATGAGCATGCAAGGAGGAAAAGGGTAGCTTCCCTTGAGAGAATAGTGGAAGGAGGAGATGGAGAGCACAAAAGTGACTCATCCTCCAACACATTCCACACACTGCCTGGTCCCTTTGCTCCAGGAGAGGTGCTGGCAGGCTCTCTGCTGTGGGAAGTCATCCATCTTTCCTGCACAGAGGAAGGGAAATTGGCATTTCTGTGGCTCCTGTAAATATATCCTTTGCTTTACACAACATAAGAATGAAGGCACAGTGAGGAAGATGGGTAAAGTTTTGTAATTTAATATGATGCATTTTTGTGATTAATAATACACGGTATTTGTTACAATGGATTTGATCAGGAAAACAGAACCTTTTGGAGTCCTATGGAATTAGGGTTTGGTTTTTTCTTTTCTTTCCTTTTTTGTTCTTTGTTGAGAATTGGACCTTGAACAATTGTAGGAGAAGCTAGGGGAACAATGGTCTGGGAGGCTCTGGTTGGAGGCTCAGACACAGCAGATAATTGTTCTCAGACAATTAGAGCACAGCAGAGTTATGGGGAAGAAGTTCATGCTCTGGTTGCTCTGTTGCTGGAGTTCAACCTGATGCCACTGTCAGACCATTTGCAAAATGGAGAACAAGAAGCCCTTGAGAGGGAGAAACTCGGGGGCTCCCAAGAACAAACTGGGACCCACAAGGGCAAAGTGGGCACCCACACTTCTCTCTTACTGCATCTGACCCACAGACCTGCAGAAGAAACTGGAGTGCTTGGCTAAGGACTAGCCTACTAACTTGGCCCAGGACCCAGAGAAACTCAGGGAGTCAGGCAGATACTGGAGGAGCCTAGAGCCTACACAGTTGCTGCCCTGTACCATGGGATGAGGCACTAGACCAGCAACCAGCCCTCAGAAGCACAGGGCGGTGGCCCCCGTTCCTTAATTAGTAAGACATGTCTCACAGGGCTGTTGGAAGCTTGAATAAAATAAGTGCTTACAACTTTGTGATGCCTGGAAGGTAGATAATGCTTAATAGATATATGTTACTTACAATTCTTTAATTCGGGGGCAATGGGGAGTGTTGAGTGTTCATGAGAAAAGAGAAGCTGAGATTAAGGCTGTTTAAGTGATTTTGCTTCATTACATAGAATTCGTTAATATTTGCTGTATAATTTGTTTAATATTCTTGAAATCAAGAAGAAATGGATCACAGGTTGAAAGGATGGCCATGTGCTAGAAATGATAACTACAAAACAGTCAACTCTGAGACCCTCCTGTGAGGTTGGCCAATGTCAAGGATGGGAAGGAATGGCTTGGCATCCAGACAAACAACCGAAGTAGCCAAGAGTTGGAAAAGTAAGTTTAGTTTCAGGTTTCTTAGGAAAATGTCTCTTTAAAAGGGTGTTAGAAATGGAGTTAAGGATTCTATGCTTGGTCAGCAGGCATACAATGTCCTTTGACATTTTCTAATGCATAAGTCACATGAATGAACCTTTTTGAAAATACTACTGGAATGAAAAATGGAGTTAAGAGCTTAATGAAAATAACGAACTCGGTAATGGTAGAGAGTTTGTATGAAGGGTTGGGGTAGGTGTGGACCCATAGAGAGAACTAAATCCAAATCATAGAGACTAAGATTCTGTTTGAAGATTTACCAGGCAGTCCACAAATTCAGTTTTGCAATAAATCTGTGCAGTTGGTTTATCCTCATTTCACAGGTCAGGGGAAACTGGAGCATAGAGTGGTTAAGCAACTTGACAAGGTCCCACATTAGTCCTTAGTGAGGCTGCTGCAGACACATCAACTATAGGTCATTTTCCTGCCCCCAAAAGAATGTCAGTGTCATGCAGGCAGACGGTATAAAAGGGTCTAATGTAAGCCACCCAAGTTTAGATATTAGGGATGGGGAGGATGAGATAGGCTCAGAAATGATCTGATGGACTCACATTTGATAATAAAAAATGATAGAGATTGTATGAATTTTACTAAACAAAAATAGTTTGCAGTAGATTATTTATAAAAGTGATTATGAAAAAGAAAACGTGAGAAAACACCCAGACACACCCACATATAGTATGCAATGCTGAATTACATCCCACCCAGATTTCCTTTTTTGCATTGCCAAAATATTGTTTATAGAAAATGCACATAGTCATTGAATGCCTAAAAAGATGAGGATCCATTTTTAAATTTCAACAACTGGAAATTAAGGACACATAATATAATGTGGGTGGGATATAATTCAGAACATTTTTGGAAAAGCATTCTTCAATAGCTGTCAAAGTTAAGAATGCATACAACTTTAATTCTGCAGATTTGATGATATAAGATATATTTGAAATGTATTTGACTTGGGCAAATCCCTCTCCCCATAAAATCATATATTTAAGTGTGAGGATATACTTTGCATCATTCTTTGAAAATTATAATTATAGAAACAATATAAATGTTCATCTCTAAGAGTCTGATTAAATACATTTTTATATCCATAAAAATAAAATATTAAGCCACATTTTAAAAAAAGGTATAGATCTATTTGTACTCATTTGGAAAATACTTAAGATATATTATAAAGTAAATTAGAAAGCTGGATAGTGTGGATTATATATGAACACGTACTTATTTAAAAGCCATTTTTACTGGGGTAAGGTGATATCTCATTGTAGTTTTGATTTGCATTTGTCTGATGATTAGTGATGTTGAATATTTTTTCGTGTATCTGTTGGCCAGTTGTATGCCTGTTCAGATCTTTTGCCCATTTTTAAATTGGGTTACTTGTTTTTTTCTATGAGCTGTTTGAACTCCTTATATACCCTGGGTATTAATCCCTTGTCAGAGGGGTAGTTTGCAGACATTGTCTTCCACGCTGTGCATTGTCTCTTCACTCTGTTGATCATGTCCTTTCCTGTGCAAAAGCATTTTAACTTGACGTGATCCCATTTGTCCATTTTTTTCTTTGGTTGCCTGTGCTTTTGAGGCCTTACTGAAGAAATCTTTGCCCAGACCAATGTTCTGGAGTGTTTCCTCAATGTTTTGTTCTAGTAGCTTCATAGTTTCAGGTCTTTGATGTAAGTCTTTAATCCATTTTGATTTGATTTTTGAATACAGTAAGAGATAGGGGTCTATCTGCATATTCTTCTGCGTACAGTTATCCAGTTTTCCTTTAACTTTGCCTTATCAGCTCTAAGCATAATTTTTTCTCAGCTAATCAGCTCTCAGTTTACATTCTGTTGGGAAGGAAGAGAGTGAGACAGTTGTGGCTGGGAGTCAGAAGGGTCTTGTAGTTGGGGAGCTGAGGGTGCCATGGAGGAGAACAGAAGGGCTAAGTTCTCTCTCCCAGGGCCATCCATGGAAAGGGGAGGAGGTGAGCTGCCTGCTGGGGCTCCAGCCTGCTGTGAGCCTGCCCTCCTGACTGCTGGGAGAGCGGACCCACTTCATTCCTCTGCCTTCTTTCCACCTCCAGCAAGGGCTTGTAACCATGTTCTGCAGGTGACTCCAAGGTGACAGGACTCTGTTGCTTGTTTGTTTTGTAGTCTTGTGTGCTAAGGTATTTACTCTCATATTCATCATTGCTGGGTGATGATTTTTCTTGCTCTGTTTCCTATTCCCCCAGCACATTCCTTCCTTATCATTATACCTGCATGGTCTCAGTCTGGGCCATCCCACCCCACACCCCTTCATTCTGTGGATGGTGGCCCCCTAGGCTGGTAGCTGCATGGCTGTCCTGTGTCTGATACCACTGTTCATCCTGCATTGGCTAAATCGGCCTCTTTTGGTTCTACAGTCAGAATCTTTTCTGCAAACACACCAAGACTTCTTCTGTCTTCCCATCTTGTGTGGCCCAAATGGGTCATGTGGAAAGAATGTATCTGAGTAAAGCAAGTGAATTCTGACCACACTCTCATGCAGTACTAGGAGGGCGATTGTATGGTCTGGGGAAATCCTGAGGCTTTTGCTATTAGTCAAGAGTACTAACTGCTGAAGGACTCCCGAGGTCCAGTGGTGATTGCTCCCTCCCCTGAAACTCTGGCCCACCATCTTTCACACCTGCAGTCTGAGGACACATGAGGAGAAAAAGGCAGGATGCTCTGTGTAGAGGCTCCGGATGGACTGGTCTTCAGGGTGACCAGCATTATGATCATGCACATACTAGCCTGAAAAAGAAGCAGAGAGGATGGCCCAGCTTTGCATCCAGGAGAAGGGCAATTGATCTGATGAATAGTGCCTTGTCCTATGTAGATTCAGAAGACGTGAGTTAATTCTGGTTCAGCCCCTGTATTTGGGCTGTGTCACCTCGCCAGGCCTTATTTCCTGGGCTTCCAAAAGCAGACTGGAGAGCCCTCAGGATCCTTCCTGATTCCTCTGTCTGTAGGTGCTCATTCTTGCATGGCAGAGTTGCTCTTCAAAAGTCACAGACCAGGTTCCCTAATCCAGCGCAGCCTCAGAATCACAGCAGTCTGAACATGCTGCCATAGGCAAGGAGCATCTGAAAGAAGCACAGCTACCTGTCCCTAATAGTAAAGAAACTCACGGCCGGGTACAGTGGCTCACACCTGTAATCCCAGCACTGTGGGAGGCCGAGAAGGGTGGATTACTTGAGGTCAGGAGCTCGAGACCAGCCTGGCCAACCTGGTGAAACTCTGTCTCTACTAAAAATACAAAAATTAGCTGGGTAGGGTGGTGGGGGTCTGTAATCCCAGATACTCAGGAGGGTGAAGCACAAGAACAGCTTGAACCTGCGAGGCAGAGTTTGCAGTGAACCGAGATCCTGCCAGTGCGCTCCAGCCTGGGTAACAGAGCAAGACTCTGTCTCAAAAAACAAAAACAAAACAAAACAAAACAAAAAAACAAACAAACTCAGAAGCGTCTGGAAAGGGCTGTGTTCAGTCAGCTGCCCAGTGGCAGGACTAGCTGCACAGCGCCCTGAGGATGCACTTGCCACTCCACAGCCTCAAGGTGACCAGCATGGTGTCTGAAGAATTTTTGCACAGAAAAAGTGAGTGACATGAATAAGGGCACCTGCCCTTTCATTACTCTCATCCCATTAAAAATTGGGAGGCATTTGCAGGTCACACCTAGTCATGGGAGAGTAATGTCCTCTGTTTGCCAGCACCAAAAGTAGCAGGCACTTTCCAGTGTAGAAATGAGTCCTTTGTTGTGGGTGGTATACATTTACACTAATTGCTTTCTTTTTCTAAAAGTAATATATTTTTATTGCAGCTAGGTTTTAATAAATACATAAAGGAAAAAAAGAGAAAATAACAATATAACCCAACCCTCCTAGTTTTTCTATGCATATATATCAGTGATTGCTTTTGGCCAGGATAGATTTTCTTTTATATCTTGAAATACAAAACTAACATATGGCTGTGGAAATAGTGTAAATGACACAGGAACATAAGGAAGCATTAATGAATATAAATATACTCTATTTCAAACTTGCTAAGGGTAATATTCACACCAGGTTGGTGTGAATTTTCCACAGATCTCCTGTTCTTATTCCAAAGAAAGGTAGAAAGGTATGTGTTGCGTGTAGATTCACACAGAGAGATTAGAGATGACTGCTTTTTATTTTTTCACAAAATAGAGGCTTTTGATAGACATTGTTCTAAAATTTTTTTCCCATTAAAAAAATATTGCTGAAATATTTTTTTTTCTTTTTCTGTTTTTTTTTTTTTTTCTTTTTTTTTTTTTTTTTTTTGTTTTTTTTTTTTTTTTAAAGGCGGAGTTTTGTCCTTGTTTCCAGGCTGGAGTGCAATGGTGTCATCTCAGTTCACTGCAACCTCCGTCTCCCGGGTTCAAGCAATTCTCCTGCCTCAGACCCCCAAGTAGGTGGGATTACAGGCACCCGCCATCATGCCCAGCTAATATTTGTATTTTTAGTAGAGACAGGGTTTCGCCATGTTGGACAGGCTGGTCTCGAACTCCTGACCTCAGACGATCCACCTGCCTCAGCCTCCCAAAGTACTGGGATTATAGGTGTAAGCCACCGTGCGTGGCCTGGGGAAATATTTCTAATTCAATCCATATAAGCCTTCTTTACTTTTTAAAAAGTACTAATTATGTAATATTTTACGACCTAGATTGGGCATATCATAATTCACTCAGCTGTCTTCCGTGGGGGGACGCTTAGTTGCTGCCAGGGTCTTGCTATCGACAGCATTAATGCAATGGTCATTCTTATTTATTTATTCTGAATTGCCACTTGTATTTCTGTAGCAGAACTTTCTAGAGGTAGGACTGCTAGGTCTTCTGACTGTTAAATTCTGCCTAATTCCTGAAAAGTTACAATAATTGACCCTCTCATAACAGTGTGAGACCTGTTTTCCCACACTCCCACCAACCATAGGTTGTTACAATGTGGAAGATTTTTTCTGCAGAGATTAACAAAAAATGATGTGTGGTGGTTGTTTCATTTTGAATTTCCTTACACAGGTTAATTGGTCATCAGCCTGTCTATTGTCTGTGAATTTGCCTGTCACTCTCCTCTGGCTGCCTTTCCTTATTGATTTATAAGAGTATAAGTATTAAGCCCACCAACTCTTTCCACTAAATGTGTAAGAATGTTTTTCAGTCTAGCTTTTTAATATAAATTACATTATGTTTTTGATGTACATAATTATTAAATTGGAAACATTTTCAATGTAATTAAAATTATTTAAAATGTTAAAATTTTAAATGCAAAAGATTGTCAATTATTTCCTATGTGGTTTATGGGTTTCCAATCATGTTTAGGAAGGCCCCCTACGAAGTAAAAAACAGTTTTTCTCTCTGCTGTCACACACCACTCAGCACTCACTTCTGACCTTAGATGTAGGTGGGGGGGGGTTTTCCAAACACCAAACAATTTTCTAGCGGGCACCAGCTGGGTGTGCCATAATTCAGTTCTGATGTGACCTGCCTGGAGATAATGATGGCTCAGTCCTACAAGACTCCTCCCGCTTCCGATCCCAGCCTATATTGAATGACTGGCTATAAATCGGAGTTCCCACAATCACCCCTTCCTTGGGTTCCATTGATCTGCTAGAGCAGCTCACAGAACTCAGGGAAACACTTTACCTACATTGACCCATTTATTGCAGAGGATATTAAAAAGGATACAGATGAAGAGATGTATAGGGTGAGGCATGGAGGAGGGTGTGGAGCTTCCGTGCTTTCTCCAGGTGCCACCCCCAGGAAGCTCTGCGTGTTCTGCTAACCACAAGCTATCTGAACTCTGTTCTTTGGGATTTTTATGGAGGCTCCATTACATGGGCATCATTCCTTAAGGGTGTTCAATCTTTTGGCTTCCCTGGGCCACATTGCAAGAGGAATTGTCTTAGGCCACACATAAAATACACTAACACTAGTAATAGCTGATAAGAAAAAAAAAAAAAAAAAAAAAAAAAGTCAAAAAAATCTCATAGTGTTTTAAGAAAGTTTACGAATTTGTGCTGGGCTGCATTCAAAGCCATCCTGGGCCATGAGCGTCCCGTTGGGTAGACAAGATTGGATTAAACCACTGGTCATGGGTGATAAACTCAGCCTTCTCTCAGAGGTTGGGTGGGGCTGAAGGTCCCAGTTCTCTAATGATGGTTTGGTCTTTCTCCTTTCTCATGACCAGCCTCATTCTGAAGCTATCTAGAGGCCCCCAGCCACCAGTGCTCTCATTAACACACAAAAGACATTCTTATCACTCTGGAGATTCCAAAAATTTTAGGAGCTGTGTGCCAGAAACCAGGGCAGAGACCAAACATATGTTTCTCATATAGATCACAATATCGCACGCAAGCTACTGTGTATTTTAAAAATGTAGATTGTCAGTCCTAGCTCCCCTGTGTCGGTGATGTCTATGTGTAGCTAGCTGCACAAGGACAGCTGGACTCCCAAGGGCGGGGCCCTGGGTGACTGTTCTCACTGTAGCCCCCTTTCCCTCAATCAGGAGTGACCTCATTTCTTTTGAATTTTCTTTCCACAGGACCAAGTTCCTGGATGTGGCTGCTCCTCCACTGCTGAATTCTTCTAGGCTTTGCATAACTACAAAAATTCATGGAGCGGGTTCCTGTACTAAGACTGCTTGGAAAATTTATGGACTCTTTTGGGAAAACATTCTGGCTTTTTTCTAAATAAGGAGAAAATACCAGAATGATTAATCCAGGTGAGGTCTCGCATGATCTGTGAATTAACTCTTTCCCATTTCTCTTTTATTCGATAGTAATGTGGACTTGTTGATAACATGAATTCAAGTCTGGATTCCTCTTGCATTCTGCCACAAACATCCTCTCCTAAATAAAAGGTTATAGTGGTCCCAGGGCCCCTTTTCATTCCACATAAAATGACAGAATTGGATTGGGTGACTCGAGGTTCCTTTCACATCTGCTCTCCCGCCATGACAGAATTATCCACCACTGCGCAATCCCTTCACTCCGGTCCCTGATCCTAAATGCAAAGGGGATTTGTCAGGAAGGGCAGGGATTTATAAGCGTTTTTCTTGTAAGATAACATGCACAGCTGTAGAAAACCTTCACTATTCCTCACCATTTGGGGTTGGAAAGACTTTATCAATAGTTCAGATTTTTAAAATTGAAATACCCCATTAACCTGCTGTAATATGATCTACAGTAACACACTGCCCTTTAGAAATTCTCCTACAATGGGCAGGTAGCGGGTTGGCTTGGTCAGAGCAGAGCACAACTCCATTCTGGCTGTGGACTCACAGGCTCTCAGAGAGCATGCTGTCAATCAACTTCAGCAGGACTGTTGACACCAGCCATGATTTATTGAACTTAGCATTCATTATGTCTTTTTGTCTTTATTCACTCTATTTTTGCCCCAATATTAAAAATGCAAATATTTCATAATTGCATTTTTAAGAAATTTAAGGATGAAAGGAACAAACTACAAACTGTTTATGATGGTTGCCCACTGGGTAATTATGAAATATTCGATTTGTTCCAAGTATTATACAAATATTCTTACACACAATGAATGTGTAAATGTAACATGCAAATGTAGCTATGTTATGGTTACATATCTTACAGAAATATCACTGCTGAGGTATAATATAAGACTAATACCATAAATATGCCATAACCCAAGCCAAGGAAGCTCCTCTGGGCTCTTCCATCCCGATACTATAACATCACACTCCCATCCTGAACTAGTTCTGAAATATCTCCCAAATCCGTCCACATTCCCAATTTTCTATGCTGCCATTCTAGTTTCAGCAATTATTATTTTTCACCTGGACTACCCACTGGTCTGCTAACTAACTGGTCTCTCACTGTATCTCTATAGTAAGAGATGCCTCTGTTGTGTAAACTTTCCGATGGCTTTCCAACACACTGGAACAAAATCACACTACAAAGACCCCACCAGCCAGCCCAGTTTCCTCTCCACACATCCTATCTCCCACCAGGGTTTGTCTGCTCCGCCACGTTCACAGGCTTCCTTCTGTTCCTGGGCTCTGCAAGATGGCGCCTGCCTCAGGGACGTTGCCCTCACCGCAGGTTCTCCATGGCTTGCTTCTTCCCTTCGCTCAGTCGCTGCTTCAGAGGGGCCCTTCCTGGTGATTCTGCAGGAAGTCTCTGTGCTCTCTGTTCACCCTCACAAACTGAGCACCCTGCACCTGCCTCACCGGCTGCCGTGGTCCCATCCCAGAGCAGCACCTGGCCAGGTTGGTGGCCTGCGCACACTGTGGGGGACAGAGCCTATTTTATAGGGGTGTGGGGTCCAGGTAGGTCATGTCCGGACATCCGATGCCCTCCCTGGCATCAGTGAATACCACATGAGTGGTGGGGGAGGAATTGTCAAGGTCATTCATAGCTCACCTCCGACTCTCCCTAGAACTCCAGAATTGCTTTTGTGTTCCTTTAGAGATATTTTAACACAGAAATTGTTCAGTCCCTCAAATGCCCCATCTTCCTCTTTTACTGCCTTTTTCCTCTCCTGAGAAATAACGCCATGGTCCACCCAGGCATGCGGGGCAGCCCTGCCTCCCCCGCCGTTCTTTTCCATTGGTTGCCAAGCATGGTCTGTGTCACCCTTTGACATCTCACACATCAATCCCTATTTCCATAACAGCAGGGCATCTGCATGACAGATCTGGAACCCAAGCTACAGATCAGTTCCTAGTTCCACCCATTCCCGGTTACTGGGTGGTGAGTAACAGATGGAACGGCTGTCAGCCTCAGTTTCTTCCTCCTGACCGTGGGGGGAGGAGTCAATCTGTAGTTACTGCGGAGGCTTTCTGAGAGGAACAGAAAAGATGTTGGTGTGAACATGCGGCTGGGACGTGGGAGAACTCCATAGTGAGCAGCAGGTGTCTGCCCAGGGCAGGAGCACTTCCTCATGCCCGGGATGGCTTCCCTTCTTTCACCCCAGCCTCCTGCCCAGCCTATGCCCCACGCAGCAGTCAGAGTGCAGAGGATGTTTCTAAAGTACCCATACGTTGGCAGGGTGCTTCTCCTAGGTGCTGCCTCCTCAATGAATTATTCTCAAATCCAGACAGCTGGGTTGGTGCCCTTGGCTCGCAGGTCGAAGGCTCTGATGTGCTCCGTCTCACCTGTGCAGTCCGCTCCCTACTTCACATCCCCTCCTCTATTCCTGTTTCTGCTTGGGCACCCTGTCCCTCCACCCCAGCCCCGTAGAGACAGAGCTGGGATGTCCTTACGTTGTCCTCTCCAGGCCCCTTACCCTAGCCTCCCATGGCCCTGACTCACAACCGCCGCCTTTCGGTTCCTCCTACTGCATGGCATGCTGCTGGGTGTGGGTGGGAGGCAAGTCCCCAGCACTGTGTTCCCCAGGCAATGCTGAAGGAAAGGCCAGGGCTCCTCATCAAGGAAGGCGTTGTGTCTAGCTCAGCCACGGTTACCCCAGGCAGCAAGACTTACCAGGGACATGTAGAGAAAAGGCACTAAGATCTTTGCAAAACTGACTTCCGCTTTGTGTTAAAAGGCTTGCTATACCTATAAACAGCGAGACCAACATATTTATACATGGGAATAAGATTCAGAAACACACACAAACGGGCCAATCACTGTATCATGGAACAACGTGTACTTTGCAACACGGTTCTTTTTCCAAGTTCAAAACGTGCAAAACTAAACAATACCTATTTTGAGGGATATATATGCATGTAATAAAAATTAGAAAAGCAAGGAAATGATGACAAAATAAACATTTGAAAGATAAAACAGGAAGAGAGAAGAGGCCAAGGAATGTGGCAAGGTGGAGTCTGGGTGGACAGCAGAGGCTGACGCGGGACTGGGTGGATGGGGAGTGAGCTCTACTCACGGTTCTGGCACAGAAACTGGGAGGTGGGGATGCTAATGTGGCCGAGATCACATAGTTAGAAAGTGGCAGAGCTGGGATTCATGCTTAGGTTGGTGTGACTCTACAGCTCGTCACGTTGTTCCTTGATGCCAGAAGCAGCAATCAAGACAGCCATGCGTTAGAATGAGCTTGCCTGGGGTGGAGGGTGGCAGGAGGAGAGAAAGCAGCTGGGAGGCCAGGTGGGAGGGTGGCGGTGGCCAGGATGGAAATGGAGAAGGGGCTGGAAAGGCACGAAGGAGACCCAGGGAGTGTTGTCTGAGAGGCTGAAGTTGGGGGCTGAGGAGGGAAAGGATGTGCATTTTTTAGTGTCAAATGGAGCAGATGTCTTAAGACTTCCGCTATGCACTGGATTGTGTTACTCCCAAATTAATATGTTGAAGCCCTAACTCTCAATGTGGCTGTATCTTGACAAGGTTTTAGGAGGTAATTAAGGCTAAATGAGGTTGTAAGAATGGGTTCTTGTCATGGGGTTAGTGTCCTTATAAGAGATCTGAGAGCTTTCTCTTCCTCTGTCTTTCACTAACCCCTCCCTTTTACCCCATTTCCCCACTTCACCACTTGAGGATAAACAAAAAGACAGCTGTCTGTAAGTCATAAAGAGAGCCCTCACCAGAACCTGCCATGCTAGTACCCTGATCTGGGACCTCCAGCCTCCAGAACTGTGAGAAAATAATGTCGGTCATGTAAGCCATGCAGTCTATGCTGTTCTGTTCTTGGAGCCCAAGCGGACAAATATGGCCTCATTCCCGGAATGCTGGAAGTGTCACTGGGGCAAAGATGTATACAGCCTCTTATTTCGAACTCCTACTGTTCCAACACTCATTCAAGAAACATCTTTTGTGAATTGATGCCAGGCAAGTGGTATGAAAGAAAAAGGCACCCATCCTGTGATCCCAGATTGCCTCAGCCGAAGCTCTCCCTGCTGGCGGCTGCGGCTCTCCTCCCAGGGCGGCCACATTCACAAACACCCTCAGGGCAGTGTCCCAGAAACAGAGCTTCCCAACTGAGATATGTCCTACTTTTGAAGATGACTGCTATATTGCTCGGGGGGGAGAATTTTCAATCCTTGCAAGGCAAGACAGAAACAAAAGGGGTACTTGTCCTTCTCAGCTGGTGTGCATGTGCGGTATTTGAGGGCGCTACCTTTAGACAGCAGGGTGAGTGTGCAGAGGGATCCTCATGTTGGAAGACCGGGGTAAAGGGATGTGAGTCTGAGTTCCTTCTCAGACACCAGCCTCTTTCAGAGGCAACAGCAGAGCTCCTCGTGTGCTGGTACCCTCATTCTCACGTTGTGTTCATGGATTTCTAAATTCTCTTATTAATGGCAACAGAAAGGCCACCATCAAAAATTATGTCTCAGGGGTCCAAGATTTCAATCACACAAAGCCCAGTTTATTATGGGAACACTGGGCAGGTAAGGAGGGGGCCCCTGGGGAGCCATCTTCATGGGTGCTCATTTAAATGAAGGGGGTCACTCAGAGATTCGACTATAGTTGTCCCCTTCATACTATTTTTCTGTCAAAAGCTGTTTCAATTAAAGTAGGAAGAGCAAAACACATTTGTTTCTGATTGGGTGCGAGAACTTTCAAATATGGAAACACAACACCCTTCTACTTTTTGGATTCTGCTTTTAATGGAAAAATACTTGTCTTTCTTGAGAATTGGATTTTCTGCTTTTAAGGAGGTAATATCAAAGCAACATCTTATTTGCAAATACCAAGCTGTTCTCTTTCGGCTTGCTTCGCTAGTGCGTTGCTCTTCTGTGTTCGTCATAGTTGAAGTATTGTGCCTTCCCACCTATCCTGAAATTTTTGCTAGTCTTTGTGCATGGCATTCAAAATAGCACACTTCTGCCGTTACAAGGTGTGAGCACACTTCTAAACGGCAAAATAATTGAGTTATCATCAAGATTTTTCCAGTGAAAACATCGCTTTACTTTTCTAAACTTTAAAAAGTCGTCA